GATCTATCAGCACACAGCTTAAATTACTAGGCGGATCGAGTTGAAAATAGGCACACTAGTAGTTACTTATTTATATTAAAATTTTAAAGAGACACAGTTTATAACTCTTTTTGTTTGTTTGTAGGGTGTACAGGAAGCCACATCATACACGAGTGACGTAGACTTAATTTACGCTGACAATTCTGCCTCCCTCTTACTTAATACTGAGATAATTTTATAATAAGCTATGTTATATATTCTTTGGTAGAACTTTAAATTACTTCTCAGTGCCTCTAGTACAAGTTTTTATAGTTTTCGAAAACTAATTACTTTACTATACATTTTATAGTAGCGCCTCTAGCGGAAACCATAATGAATTAAAAATGTCAGTCCAAGTTATATTAGTTTAAACTATCCAATTACTTGTTAAGCCTCTGCTACACTCTCGTCGTGCCTAGGCGATTCAATACTGTTTTGGCTCGCCCACAAGCAAGATGGAATGTGTAGTTGAGCCTTTGCACGAATAGGAAAAAAGTGTTATAATGCTATGGCAATAAACTTATTCTATGATGTTATGCAAAATAATGGTTTTTTGTTAATTTAATTTCTAGTACAAAGTAATGTTTAATATTAGATATTTATTGACAACGCCATTTTTGAAACAACCGGTAAATTTTTTTAAAAAGAAGAGATAATTATGGGATATAATAAAGATTTATTCAAAATGGTTTTTTATTGAAATATGTAAAGTGATATATCACTTTTAATAAAAGAAAATTTTCAAAATAGAATAATAATATAATGGGAAAGTGTATCAGTTTGTCGTTCCTGTTCCAGAAGATTCTGGTTATATAGTGGTTTTGTGAATTATTTGATTAATAGATAAATGTTAATAGATAAATAGATCTTTTGAAGGAATATAAAAGCGAAAACGAACGAAACGATTACAAAAAATGTGAGGTAGGTCATAACCAAAGACCAACCCAGACCTTTATCTTTACCTTTACGTACCTTTGATACGTCAAAGGTAGTGCTAGGTACACTTGCACTACTTTTGACGTATCAAAGGTAGTGCAAGTGTACCTAGAAAAAATATTATTATTATTACCGTAGTAGTTTTTATTAATCTTTTAATCATTCAAAACTTATGGTCCAATCGCTTTTGGACCAAAAGTTTTGACAAAAGCGACTTTAAACTCATACCACAGCACAGAGCCTAGCCTTAGAGCCAAAGTAATTAACTGGAACGATTGGTTTCGAATCCCATATTAAGATCACATTAAACGGCATATTACTAATACAATCTAATAATATAAACTGATATCGCGATGCATTAAATGGACAGCAATTTGCAGATTTTGAACCTATATAGGGCACCTATGAAGATGATGGGTGTGTTACATATAAGTATCTTTGTCATAACAATATTCAAACAATATTGTCGCAAACATGAAACTTCATATTTAACATAACAATATTGCAGCGACATTGTCACAAATTTGCCTCGTCATATTTGACGCAGCAATTAACAATCAAAGAAAATCAAACTTGCCCCAAGTTTCCTTGCTATCTGGGAATAATGGTGTGTCTCATCATGACCACGACCGCTTTATCAATAGCGACACAACCGAGGAGAAAAATACACAAGCTATGTATGTATGTATATTGAAATAAAGAGGGAAATACTTTGTTCATAAATACCTAGCTGCAATCGATCGACATACATGGATTCTGTGTGCTACTGAGTTTACTATCTTATTCGTACATGCTAATAACTATGTTTTCAAGAGAACTACAAAGCTGAGGCGAGGAAATTTTCTTGTACAAAGTATATATTATTGCGATTAGAAAGTGTGAGAGTAATTATCCACTTCTAAAGTCTCCTCACACTGGTTTCAATATAAAATATATAAAAATTATGTGTTTTATAAGGTATCAATCTTCTTTCTCACATGAAAATTTTAATCGAGTGTTAACATAGTTTTCGTTTTCCGTTAGAATTAGGTACTTTCAGTCGTAAACTTGTTACTCGAAAACCATTCGATAACTACCATTTTTAGTTGACTAAGGCTTCCACTAGAGGCGCCGTTGTGAAATATATGGAAACAAAATATGACACAGATAGTCTTCGAAAACCAATATAAGATGTACGGGAACGTTGCGTCATTGTCTTTTTCTTCAGTAAAGCTGTGTATTTCGTTCTATTGAGTAATTCAATGCTTCTTAAATTTTAACGTAAACTATAAACAATATCTTAAACTGTATAGAAATCAAATAGTTTTAATTTTGACGAAAAGTAAGCTTTAGTTTTTAAAGACAAAATCGTATAACTAGAGGTACAGAATAAAGGCGACAATGATAACTACAAATTGTATTACAACGCGTTAACTACGCCAAGTACTGTGGACTGTGGTATTCTAATTAAATAACTCGACACTAACAGGTATTCATTTGTGTAAACATAGTCATCATCTAATATCTGTGTTGTTTTTATAAAAAGGCACTTAACAAGGAAATAGTATTCAAAGCAAATCATTAAAAAAAGATATAGCTAAATAACTCTATGATATATCTAAGTGACATCTAGGCTACAACGTAATCTCATAGACTCATGGTTCCTAGACAAAGGGTTACAATGTTTAACAAGTTTTACGACGTGAATGAATTATTGATCGTACAGCAATCGTATGTATTACAAAAGAAAAATTAAAACGAAAAAGCTAAGCCTACATGGGCCCTATCTCAATGAATGGCCCCGTGTCATTCATGGGTGGCAGAATAACACGAAGGCCGCTGTTATAACAAGTCGGAAGTCGGCTTTGGTGTTCCTTATTGTACGTTACACTATTGTCTACGTATTTTCGGCATTATTTTATTCATCAAGCTCTCACAACAATGAGTACACTCAGAATTACATCATAACTAGAGTCATATACTTAGTTATATACTTATCACTTATAGAAGGGGCACCTTTTACATTAATAATAATTATTCCAGACTCCTCTCACATATTGGCGTTCAAACCGAGCCACAATAGTAACTTTACTGTTTAAAGGAAAATGCAACTTTAGATTTGAACGACTTATTTATCAACTCAGATATATATGATATGAAACAATTTTTACATGATCTAACAAATTGAAGCCGCCAAAGAAATGGCAAAACCATTAATTGAAATCGATGTACAAGCCCCTTGACCACGAAAACGAGATAGATTGTCCTGGATTACTCCACATACGCTATTTCTGCGGTCTAATAGGTTTTTGCTAGATTTTTGCCGGCGACTTCGCCCGTATGGTCCTATATTATACATGTGAATTTCTTGAATCACTCTGTATATTAATAAAAATCGCATACAAGTGGGATGCAACTTTGTTTTATACTATGTATAGATGTCGAGTATAGGATGATTCTGTAGACTTGTTATTTATTCGATCAATAAACTTATTAGCGACCAAGGAAATTGAGCTAATAACCTTAAAATTTATTAATTATTTTTTAAAATAGCGATTTATTCCAGAAAATGCTATTGAAGTCGGGCGGAGGTTTTCCGTAGGTTATTAATTATTTATAGAGACCACACGGCTAGCACTAGCTTTCAAATAAAAAAAGAAACATCAAAATCGGTCCACCTAGTAAAAAGTTATGAGGTAACAAACAGAAAAAAAATACAGTCGAATTGCGTCCTCCTTTTTTGAAGCTGGTTAAAAACCGTCCGCACTTCGCTTGTGAGACATATTGATCAATGTAAATGAGCCATAAAGTATAATCCAGAATGAGCTGGACCCGTGACAATTTTTTTTAAAGTGAGTATTCATGTATGTGTATATTTGGGATACCTACGTTAATACTTCATATCAGATGAAGGAAATAGGAGTGTTTACTTGAAGGATGGCTAAATGGGATTCACGGATTCCCTACAAAATGAATTACATTGTTATTTGACTGTTTGAACCTTTCATATAATGAATATTACCGTGTTTACCATTTATTTTTTTCAGGGTAATAGATCATTCTGAAATCCAAACCAAGTTATATTCATACAATTTATTTTTTTATTTCGGCATGCTTGAGAATTTAGAGAAGTTTTCAAGGGTTTATATAATGAAATAGCTTAGATTATATAATGTAAGTGAAGTAAATTTATTTTATTTACCAACCACAAAAAATTGTTATAATATGGGTGTAGGTTAAATTATTTATGAAAAAACAAATATTTTATACTAAGTGTCACATTATTGCAAACAGCGCGTGACGTCACTCCCCTCTTACTTATATCAGAACTTAGAGAATTAAACTTTATGCATACATAAAATGATTTTAGTTTTAGAGGGCCTTAACGTCAAAACGCTATGACAGAAGATGGCGTTTTATAAATTAAGTTTATTTTTAAATTTTTACTTCTTTCATGAATGATACTTTTCAATAATTTTTTTTTTAGATATATTTCATGTATATCTATAAAAAAAATAAAAAAGTTGTCTACATCCCTATTCTGTCGTAAAATACTCTCACATTCTGCCATGACAACCAAAAAATAATCAAAAAACATGACAATGACATTGTATTTGATTCATCAACGTGAAGTGGCCAATTAAGTGAAAGTCAAAAGAAGTCATTTTATTTCAGGATTATTAATAAGATGTTTTTACGCAAACAATTGTTTACTGATTTTCTAAAAAAAAAAAACATTTAATCTATAATTATTAATAATTATTTATGATAATATCCGTTAGTAATCTGTTAGCACCAGTATATGTATTTAATAATCTGCCTTTCAGTGGATCGAGTTGATTAGTGTATTGTTTTACCCATGAATCACAAGAAAAAGAATTGCAAAAATGACCATAGAATAGTTGTGTATAACTAAACAAACAATACATTAATAAGACGATTTCGTTATACTCGTTTTGTTAAAAGTTAGCAAAATGGATTCTTTAAAATTATATCATAAACAATACGCAAAAGTGATGTAAACAGTGAAATATGAGTGCGGATGAAATTGAACAGATGTAAAAAAAATGTTAAACGGTAGCGCGGATCGTGGAACTCTATCCCTGCAGTCTTCACCGGTGAAGCTGTCCACATCACCAGTGCGTGCATCACCAAGTCCGGTGAGGGCGCCATCATCGCCGCTAAAGTCGTCACTGTCGAGCGGCCGGCAGCGGTCGCCGAGGAAGTGTCAATTCGCCGCGCCTGTTGAAGATGCGCGTGACAAATGCGGGACGTCTTGGCTGTGCAGGCGGGGCGCGGGGGTCGGGGACGAGTCTGAACCGGAACGAACGGCGGGACCGAGCACTCCGCTGCCACAGGGGTGTGAAGAGTCCGCCCCGCCTCCAAAGAACTGCTTCAGACTAGTGATGTTGGGGTAAGCTATTTTTCAGTTCCTATAGAACTAATGGTAATTTTTAAGGCACTAATTCACTCAACATTCACTTATAACGAAATTGCTCATATACTATACAGGTAAATTCGTTTGTCAATATCAGCATAGATATTCTAAAATCTTTAAGAGTAGGTAATTATTATTGGAGGCCATACATTAGAGAGACTATTTAATTAATTTTTAAGTTAAGTTTGAAAACTTCCACTATGTTAACTAAAATTTTAATATATAGAAAGTTTGAAACCTTTGGATATAAGTTTTGCTTTATTCGACGTAACCCTTTATAGTATAATACATATCATCGCTCTTAAAATGAGTCGAACAAACTACGCTGCGCGAAGTTGGATTCCATGAAGGTTCATTTCGACTATTACGAATGACTGAAATCCACTTCTCTTTCACATTTTGATGTCGGTTTGGAAATGAAAAAATGTATGCAAACCCGTTTAGTAAAAATAAAGAAGTAAAAAATTAAACCCGTTTTTTATTTTTTACTTCCTTATTCTAACACTTCAATATCTGTGATCTGGACCTCTATGTAGCATTTTGAATGCAAAATTTATTAAATATCATTTCCATACAACAAGAAAAAAAGCACCAGCAAATTTAACAGTTTCTTAAAGTAAACTAAGTAAACTAACTTGGTTAAAGGAATGCATATGTAATTAAGAATATGTTTAGAAAACAAACGTATATTTATTTCATATTTATACAGAGAGGCGTAACTTCAAACAGCGGTGTTCAATTTCGAATAAAATATTTATTTCCTTTTAAAGTAGGTTTTATTTGATTGAATCTTTAATTATGCTATGGCAGCGAGTACGTTCGACAAGATCAAGGCTGTTTTTATAACAGAATAGCATGTCAATAAACGGATTCCAGGTTCATTAGGGGGAGTGTAGATGCAACGTTTTCGCAGAAAATTATTTGTTCTTTATCTGTGATGAAGTAGATTTACCATGAGAAAAAAAAGGTTTACATTTTTTTAATAATTCAAATAACAACTGAATATATTATCATAATGTGCTCCTCAATTTTAAATCACTTTTCCTTTTCGCTACTAGTAAGCGCAATTTCATCAATCTTCATAGAGTCCATCTTAAACAGATAAAAGAAATATTTTGATAAATTTTGCATTTTTAATGCTACACTGAAAATATTTATTAGTATAATGAATGCAATATAATTACATGCTTTATTCTAAGGTAACATAGATATAATTATGTGCTAATAAGTTCACTAAGTTACCTGATACAAGCTCTCAAGCAATAAGCTGGAGCATTATAGGAGCAAATCAATAAAGTTTTCAGCTGTTTGATTGGAACGTTTGTTCGTGTGTTGTTATTGAAAAACTCTGGAAAAGAAATATTCTTTTCGACAATTTTGCGAATGCTTAATGTTCTGTCGTGTGCAAATAAAATGTCGGTATTATCATAATTACATTATACAGTTATGTTACAGTTCATCCGCCATTTCTGGTTATAATCTTTTTAAGGCGTCAATAATAATTAGAGAGAAAAATATAAAAGCTAGCTCTCCGCCACTGGCTTTGTCCGCGTGGTTTATATGATTGACATCCAGGTTTAGAATTATCCATTTATCATCAAAATTCATTGAGTCGTTTTCACTAATATTAATAAGATCTGTAGTTTAATAGTTGTCAGTAAATACCTAGGACTTACTATTAAGAAATTAACGCAAAGATATTTTTATAATGTACCTACTAGCTTTCCACCAGCGTCTTCGCTCGCGTGGTCCCTAGGGAACTTCATTTGGATATCGAGTCATATCATGTCATGGATATAATTACATTGACAAATTGAATAGTAAACAATGGCTTATATGGCAACGTTTAAATTCTCTATGCAACCACTCCCATTTCATCCCTTTGTTTGGGGTTTTTCGGGATAAAGTATATCCTATGTCGACCACAAATTATGTAGGCAATTTTTCAATTATGTAGGCAAGCTTCGCGTAGGCAATTTTTTTTAATTGGTCCTGTTGTTTCGCAGTCTATTCGTTGCAAATAAAACAATTAAATTGTCGAGAGAGGTTTTTTACTGAATATATTTTGTCTTTACATTAAGGTGATGTTCTATGTCAAGTAGTTGATAGACTTTTGTTTTTGTCTTTTCTCAATGGTTTTTCATGGTACAATACATTTTTTGTGGATTATATGGTTTTTCATTCTTTTGATTCTCCAATGAAATCACAAAAATCTTTCCTCTGTATAATATTAGTATAGAAAGTGATAGTTTGAAAACAATGTCGGTTTGTATGTTGATAAATCTCTGATACACCGACCGTTGATGGAGCCGCAATATCGACAGATATTATTGGAATCCACAACCGAACCAAATTGCGAATTCCTCACGCTGAACGGATGCGTCCACGTTGATTATCTGTGTTACCAAACATATCGACGAGTCATATACACGATGCAATTACGAGTATTAAGAGGAAAATTATAAAAAAAAACATTAATTTTAAATTGATAATGAAAAAGAATGATCGTAGAAATACGTAATATGTAAAGTTGTTATAAAAAATGAGAAAAATATGAATTTATAACTATTTATAAATCCATTCCGATCTGTGACTAGTCTATGATTTTATCTCGTTCTACAGGAAGGAATGGTTATCAGTGAACAATTTTTTCATATGATTTAGTATCATTAATAATCAGTGGTCGGAATTAGGTAGAGTTATTCATGTACTTACAATGATTTCATACAGCGAAAGAATAAGAATAAAGCAGAAAAAGTCTCGTGATTTTTTAAATAAAAAGTTTTTTACTTTTACACAATTTAAACTACTGCACGCACGACGTTGCCAAACTTACAGCAATGAAAGAAAGAAATAAAAAAATCCCGGGAAGGTCCACATTCATATCAACATTTCGATGCAAGTACATAAATAACTCTACCTAATTCCGACCTCTGTTAATAATACATATTTAAAATTAATAATTTGACTTTTATTCATGTTTATTTTGTTATTATTACTAATAGAATCAAGTATCGTGATATTGACAAAAAATGGTCATCGACTTCCCTATACAGCAAGGTACCATATCCTGGCGACATGTTTGTAGACAACATTTTAATTTCTTATAAACTGGTTAAAAATAGTGAAAAAACGTGAATATGATTCTATTAGACGATGTCAATATTAGAATTCTTCCAGTTGATTGTTCTCACCGGTTATATAAAAGCATACGAAGTAAAACTTTACAGATATTCTAAAATTTGCACACCCATGCTACGAGATAGATCGTAAGCTAGATGTGATCAAAGATCGTTACGTTTCAAGCTGTGGAGCTTTTCAATGATTTCTCATTGCAATAAATATAATTAAAATAAGCCACTAGAAAATATTGAAAAACAAATGCTTGCATATTTTTTTAATAGTATTTTTAAATTTCTGCACTGTGATACAAATATTTTCTGTATGAGCCTTAAGTTACCTTCACTACTACAGTTCATAATGCAACATATTTAAAAACTAGATTCTAATCCAAAACTTTGTAGTCTTATCATAATGCTAGTTTGGTCCTTATATATTTTATCTACTAAAATTACTTATGCCCTTAAATTATTATTAGTAAATTCTACGATGAATATTAAATTAAAACAAAGTACTATACTGGGCATTCGTTAGCAACTTTATTATCAATGTTTACGATCGTCCGATCTTATCTTTGGCAAGCTCAAATTCTATTTATTCGGAGACCCTCGTCAGTCTCAATGTTATTGTTACTGAATATTATTGAGGTGACATACTCGTTTTAGTCACCGTTTTATCTATTAGATGTTATCAATATCACGAAGTTGTTTTTTGAACACACAACAAAAAGTTTTGTTGCAAAAACAAAATTAACTAAATACATTCTTAATTAGAAGAACTTCGCCACGATTCGTCATCAGCCTATTAAGCCAAAGCAGTCAGTGATCTTCCTGTGGTAGATAGCTCTTCTGATCTTCCAGTGGCTGTTTGGGTTTACATTGATATAAATACTTTCTGTGGTAGCGAAAAGGTTACAATTGCTTGAAGAATTCGTCAGACCTGTAAGGTCCTGGATAGCTCAGGGGTTAAAGCAGTCGCTCGGATTGCGTAAGGTCATGGGTTCTTTTCGATAAGAATATTTTTCAGTATGTACAAAATTGCTCAAATATAATAAATATTTCAAAAATTAATAAATACAGCAGCTAAAATCGAACTAAGAATAAAAGAATCTATATCATAATTACAATTCTATTTAATATTTTACTTGTTTCAACCTTTTATTATTCTTATCTGTTAAGCTTGATAGGATAATTACGGATTACCGTAGGATTTGTTATCAATAATTATCAGACTAATTGATATTTATCCTTGAGAGAGCGAAGACTCACTAATACTTTTTTATCCTTATAATTAGAGTATTTCCGTACACACTATACATATAGGAAAGTTACTTGAAACATACAAAAACATGTATAGTACTTATCTCTATTACAAGTACAATAATAGTATTGTACTTGTAATAGAGATAAGTATTGGGCTTTACAGCAGTACAGTAACTTTAAGCCTATGACGATAGCAAAACGGCTAAGCTATATATTATAAAATAGATATATTCTGCACTTCTTCTTCATATAAGTTTAAACTTTGCCTTTCAAACTATTTCGTCCGCGCAATCTTTGTCAAAATGGGTACAAGTTTTTACATCTCGTATATAACAGCGAAGCAAATAACAGCATGTAATGTGAATTATAAAGCCAATAGCTTAAACGCATAAAATATGCGTTTAAGTTATTGGCTTTATAATGAAGGGTTGTTGGTGTCTCTAATAATAACTTAATAAAATTCTTTTTTATATTACGGTAATATTTCGATTCGAGTAATATTTCGTTAAACTATTATAAATTTTCTTTAAAATATGACTTCCATCGAAATTAATACAAGTCTTATAATCAGGTACTTACAATTTAATAACAGTTATGT